CTGGCTTTCGCTGAACCTTTTCCAATATACTGATCACATTATAATTTAGTCCACAACACCAAAGCAAGTCGGCATAAAAACACATATCCAGGTCTTTTCAGGTACATTATAGGGCTAAATTAATAATGTATTGAGTATCTGACAACATTGCCTCCTGGATCAAGATTTTCATAAGTGAAATTTTTGTTGTCTACCACATCATCCCACCAGGTAGTTTGGTATAGTCCAATACAGATTTTAGAGCTGCTTTTAAACCTCAATATTCATCTCGTCATTCAGTGTTTAAAATGACAATTTTGTACAATAAGCCCCCTGTTTTGTGATAAGAAAAGCTGCCTGCATAGCAAGTGGCACATAAGAAGTTATGTTTAAATCAATTTTTCACTGGCAGCGAACATTCTCTTCTATTTGCATAAAGTTTAAATCACAACAAAACAACTTTGACAGGGTACATGTATCTTTAAAAAATGCCTGCAAAACTGTAAATAAATAAAAAATAGTCTATAAATACTGATATAAGTAAATATAAAAATAGTTCTCTATAAGACAACAGAAAAGAACTTAACCTATTGCACTTGGCTGCTGCACTATGAAAATGCTTTGCCACATTCATCAGAAACAAAATCAAATCAAACCACAAAAACATTGGTTGTAACTTAAACCCAAAGATATGAAGAGATAAAGTGATGGGCTGTTTTCAAGCCAAAGTGGGACGCCTGTGTTGTGAGGTGGGATTCCATCATTAGAGCCAGGGGCGATTCATGCCCTGGTACGAGCCTGGTCTCAGGCCAAGTGAAGGAGGGTAGCCAGAGGAGAAACCAGCTGCACTCATCAGGCCTTGCTGTATCATCATAGACTGGTGGGCAGCCAGATGTGAGGGGTGTGCTCCAGCAGACCTTAAGATTAGTTCCTCTTGTCTCTGCTGAAGGTACTGCTGGTAAAGCTGAGAGGTGGGATCCACTAAGCCACCAGCTAAAGCGCCTCGGCTTTGTTGGTTCATGAGCGCTAAGGAGTCTCTTCCAGAATAGGAAGCCAAGTTCGCCGCATTGAGATGACTGAGGGTCTGCGCTTGACTTGAGGATATAGAATTAAGACTTGGAATTTGTAGTGATGGATGGGATTGAGAAATGGGGTCCCTTGGATCTCTTGGAAGAGATGGGAAACTACCCTGACTGAGGCTAGAGAGACTTTGATGAGACTGCTGATGAGCTGGAGTTGGAGTGCGAGGAGCTCCAGGAAGACCAAGAGCACTTAACCCTGGTGATTGAGACAGGAATGGAGATGAGGAACCAGAGAGTGGACGTGGTAAAGATCCAGGAGTAAGAGCACCTTCCCCTCGGCCAAAGAGTGGTGATGACTGGCCTGTCATCATGTTGGTGTAGGAACGACTTAAACCCAACTCCACACTATTACCAGTGGCTGCTGGTGTAGATCCTCCTGTACCAGAACTGGAGCCAGAGGCTGACCGCCCTGCTGACACTGGAGTCCCTGATGAGCTACCACCACCTGATGAACTTCCACTACTTGGACCAGTACCAACCTGAGTCTGACTTGCAGCAACTGATCCACGAGGTAAAAGTTCATGTGAAAACAGATTTGCCTGTCCAGTTCGACTGGCCAGTGAGGCTAAAGCTGCACGGTCTAATTGCGCTAAGCGCTCTTGTGTTAGTCTGTCTTGTGTCAGGCGGTCTCCCTGTAATGAACCCATCTTTTGCAGCGAAGCAATGACTGATGTAGTAGCCAAAGACGATCCTAAACTAGTTGCTAGACTAGTGACCATACTTGATGGTAAACTGGAGGCAAGACTGTTGGCCAAACTAGTTGCTAAACTGGAAGTCCACATACTCTTTTGCTGGAGATACATATGTGATTTTTCGGTGGCATGAGCAGGTGGCAAGTCACGACTGGAAGGACGACTTCCTTCACTAGGCTTTTGGTGTGCTATAGGAGGCTGAGAATGACTGTGGATTTGAGACTGTGGAGTCTGTGGGGGTTTGGTTATCTGCTGCGGAGAGCTCAAGCCAGGCTGTGTTTGCATATGAGGACTTGTGATCTGTTGATGATAATTAGGCTGCATTGACCGATCTTGTAATCTAGGGTCAGCTTCAATCTGCCGAGCCAATTCTGCTGGTTGAACACGACTTGCCAGATTCAAACTCTGCTGATGCAAGTCTGTCAAATCATTAACAGCACTTATACCACTGCGCTCTATGTCTAACACTGGAACCTGTGTTGGAGTCTGCCCTCCCGCAACAGCAAATGGAGTAGGTGGCAAAGATTTTGCAATGGCAGGCTCAGGGTTGGGAAATGCTGCAGGTGCTCGTGGAGGTTCAGCTGGTGATTTGGACAACTCCTTATCAGGAACTGGTCTATTCGCTTCTGGCTCTGTGATGCGTGACACAATCTGTGATAAGTTGGCAAGATTGGCTGGCAGTGCTGAGGGATGAGGAGAAAAGGGAACTGTCACATTTGGAGGTGCTGTATTTCGAGCCACTGGACTATCTTCTGCAGATTTACGACCTGCCCATTGAGCCGCTGAGCTGTCAACTGGAATGAGAGAAGGGAACTGTCACATTTGGAGGTGCTGTATTTCGAGCCACTGGACTATCTTCTGCAGATTTACGACCTGCCCATTGAGCCGCTGAGCTGTCAACTGGACTGACTGCTGCAGCTGTCACACTGGAATTATTTTGGAAATCTTGACAACCTTTGTCTAATGCTGCTCTCTTTTTCAATGGTTGCATTTCTGATTTTTCCTGAATTGGTGGGGCAGGTGTAGTTAATCCAACCTGCACTGGGGATGCCAAGGTAGGAGTCAGAGGACCAGTTGGGGCTGCTGGTGATAGTGTTGGAGTCTGCTTTTTCACCCCATCATGGCTGTTGTAGTAGCCTGGGGGCTTCTTTTGAGGCTGTGCGGGCTGCACTGAGCCAGTGCTCTTATACTGATCAGTAAGGGGCTTTGTTGGATCATAAGAATAGTAACTATACTGGGGTTTGGTCTTTTCTGCTGGCTCAGTTGCTGTCAAAGGTGCTGGGGACGGCTTATCTGTGGGTGTGGCTGGAGCAGAAGCCGAATAGTAGTTTGGAGTCTTGGCTTTTTCCAGAGTGGTATCTGATGAACTGTAGAAACTGGCATAGCTAGCTGGGGACTTTTGTTTCTTGCTAGCATCAGCCTTGCTAGAGTAAAAGGAGCTCATGTATGGCACTGTAGGACTGTATACTGGTGATTCTGTTGGTTTGGGTTCAGTAGTCTGCTTTTCAGTACTGTCCCCTGCAGGTTTATCAGTCATGTCTTGGTAAAATCCAACAGTAATGGCCCCATTAGCCTGATACTTTGCCTTCTCTGGATCATATGAAGGGAACGGTTTGGAGAGAGCATTCTCATATCGAGGCGAGTATGCAGGCACACTCGGGGACTTTTCTGGGACTGGCGAGAACTGCTTGGCACCAAAACCTGGGGTGTGAGGAGACCTAGTCATAGGCGAGCGCTCCCCTTCTGAAGAGAAGGCTGCAGGAGAGCGGTCAGAGTCAAAGCTGTGGTTGAGGGGCGACCGGTCAGACACCCCAGATGAGGAAACCGAGGCCTTCCGCTGTCTCTCCACCTCGAGCTTCTTCGCTTCTTCACGAGCACGATCGAGTTCTTCCTCTTCAAACTTGTAAGGGTCATCCTCCTCATCAGGCTGGAAGAGGGAGAAAAAAAGGGTTCCTTAGATAGAGAAAGAATGTTACTATGGAATTCTTTTCACCAACAATAATTCCTATACAAGTAATAATCTACAGAATTTCAGCAGTGTATTCTCCACTAAGGAGTATACATTTGTTAGATATATTCTTAATTGCTTAAAAAGTATCTTTGAAGAGGACATTTAACCAATGCAGCCAAGATTTTTTTTTTTTTTTTTTTTTTTTTAACTGAAAAGACATTCTGATCACTCTATATATAAAATACAGCAAAAACCACATTGAAATCATACAATCTGTAAAGTATGCACTAGTGGAAAAGAAATTTGAAAAATCAAATACAAACAGTGAAATACAAAATCAAATACAGTAAGTACGTGTTATCAAACAATGAACTGTAATGTCCGTAAAGTGTAGCGTGCAACAAATAGAAATGTGAAGTGTGAGGATTAGGATTTTAATAATATTTTCCTACCTAATTCAGTATCTGAGAAAATGCAATATGATCTTCAGGGAATCTAACGTGAACATATACCCATATCATTATTTTACACCTAAATTTGTGCCACTAAAAGTCACATTTCATTATTTGTACTTTTCCTTCAGCTAAGTAACAGACCAGACTGCAGGCATTTGACTTCAATAAAAATGGTGATGTTCATAGACAAGAGCATTATGTAGATAAACATTGTACATTTACAAGAAACAAGCGCACCTTACCAAAACATCAGTAAGTCTTTTCTCCAACATTATTCCAGGTGATCCGAACACAAAATTGGAAAAGCCATGTGTAGTATATCATATCAGACAGTATTTCACTTGTAAAAGTATAAATAAATAAACAAATAAAGAGATAAATAAATAAAGAGATAAATAAATAAGTAAATAAATATAACAAGACATGACAAGTAAACATGTAATAAAAATATTAAGTCATATCATCATAAACTATCAATCTACATCTTCATGTGCTCTTCAGAACAAAACAAGAGATGAAACTGCCCATGAATTCCTTCAATCTTCCACCACATCTGTCAATAATTCCTTTCAGTATGATGAAAGATTCCTAATGTAGAGGTGATACATGAAGGGTTACATATACAAAAGTGAAAATCCAGTAGAGTAGGATGTAAGTGGCATAAAGCAGCAAGAACTAGGACCCTGATCTTGTGAGGACTGTTCTGCCCTTCCTTACGAGCCATGACAACAGCTATCTTTTAGTTTAGATTTTAGCAATTTATCGTACACATAGAAAGGGGGGGGGGAAAAAAATGTATTGCTGGATCTCGGGGAGCAGGAAACATTAAGAGAATTTTGGCATGCAAATATAAATATAAACATAAACTGTTCTTTTTTTTTTTCATTCGTGTTATCAAACAATGAACTGTAATGTCCGTAAAGTGTAGCGTGCAACAAATAGAAATGTGAAGTGTGAGGATTAGGATTTTAATAATATTTTCCTACCTAATTCAGTATCTGAGAAAATGCAATATGATCTTCAGGGAATCTAACGTGAACATATACCCATATCATTATTTTACACCTAAATTTGTGCCACTAAAGTCACATTTCATTATTTGTACTTTTCCTTCAGCTAAGTAACAGACCAGACTGCAGGCATTTGACTTCAATAAAAATGGTGATGTTCATAGACAAGAGCATTATGTAGATAAACATTGTACATTTACAAGAAACAAGCGCACCTTACCAAAACATCAGTAAGTCTTTTCTCCAACATTATTCCAGGTGATCCGAACACAAAATTGGAAAAGCCATGTGTAGTATATCATATCAGACAGTATTTCACTTGTAAAAGTATAAATAAATAAACAAATAAAGAGATAAATAAATAAAGAGATAAATAAATAAGTCTTTTTTTTTTTTTTTCCTTTTTATTGTAATGCTTTACCAAGGTGCTGAAAAGGTACAGTAAATTACTTCAAAGGCTTTGAAGAAGCTAAGAAACAAACATATTGTGCTCTCCTGCGGTCACTGCGTTGAGATCTATTGGAGATGATGACACTGAGACTTTCTCAAAACAGAAATAAAGCCACAGAAAAGGAGGACTGAAACTGTGAATACAATAGTAATTATCAATGAAATCTACAATAACCAAAAGCAGGTCTCTTGACATTATGGCTACTTCATCTCTTATATTCACAAAATCCTTCATTTCTCTGGCAAAGAACTGATTGTGCAAACTGACTAAAATCTTACAAACAAATCTCTCCTTAACACAGAGATTATACTTACCATCTGCATACTCAACGACATGCCCAGCTGCATAGCAAGAGGCCTACTGCAATTTGCTCACCAAAATTACTCTGCAGCAACTCATGATCAACAGAACAAACTGTTTGTGAACTAGCTTCCACAAAGTAGCGTGACCTGGTCATCTAACATAACAGTCATTTGTTTGCCACACTTAAAGTTGTTGATGCAGTCACCTTGAAAATTGCAAGGGAAACCACAAAGACCGTGCTATGTTGCATATTTGTATTCAATCATCTACTGACCATTGTTTTCTCTCCCGCAATTCATCGTTCTTCAAGCTAATCTCACTAACATCCAGTGACAAATAAAAAAAAAAAATGAACACAGCAAATTGATGAGAAAATAATGGTCTCTGTAGATATTACAAGGCTTACCATATTGCCGTCCTGTATCGTATATTGTCGCTCTCCCATCTATTGAAAAATTGGAAATTTAGAAGCGGATGTAAGTTACTCAGTCATAAGACAAGGAATCACTCAGTTATTCAATTCTGTAGTATCAGTTACTTTAGGGTAATTTCTACATACAAACACTTAAAAAAATAATCTATGAATTTCAAAATGTGTGTGTTTCAGTCAATATAGCAATATGTTGTGTAGTAATATGACTAAGGATCACATGAAATTCAAGGATCAGAGTGCATGTAGTCTGGTCAACAAGGCAAAGAAGACTAAAATAATCTTATGAGCAGAAACATACTAAAAGTATTCATTTGCTTTTCTTGCTTTCTCCATTATCTATCAATTCATTCCTTTTTTTAGCAAGTACAGATTTGTTGTTTTCAATGAATGTAGTCAAAAGTGTCTTTTTATTTCATACTTGAGACTCAAAAGTTCATGATATTCTTATGTTATCTGGTAGTGTTACAGGAAAGAAAACCAAATATAAAAACATGAAATGACCAAAAAAAATCATAAATACAAAACAAACCAAAAAATGTAAAATAAAATAAAATAATGGAATGCATGTTCCTTGAGGTGTGAGGTACTAATAGAAATACTAAATAACATTAATAAAATCATAACATTGCAACAATCATGATTATGAAAATGATCACAATATCAACTCCTCATTCTTTCACATCCAACTTTGGACTGATAAATTTTCACTACACTAAATGAACTTTGCCCCTGGACCTAAAATCACAAGTATAACTATACACTGAACGCTGACAGCAACTGGTATTAATGGTCCAATTCCTCTTCTCTTGCATTTACTTTGATGTTCCTCAAGATTGTTATTTCCATGTTATTATTCCCATGACTTTCCACAATCCTTGGGGTAACAATGTCTTTGAAAATGAAGATGATGATAAACAATAATGTGATGACTGTATTAATGGTAAAAAATGGTAAAATTCTGTTTTAAAGGAAATGTAAAACCATGTTTTAAAAACAGTAAAAAAAGAAAAAAAAATCAAATATAAAGTAAAAAAAAAAAAAAAGAGGTAACAAAACAAAAATCAACACAAAGAAAGTTAGAAACAAAAGACAACTGTAACTACAACCACAAAACAAGAATTCATCATACCTTCATCTTCTTCCA